GGCATACGATGCAAGAAGATTGGACATCTCGGTAGAGTTAGAAGTATAATAATTTGTTGGAGCATTAGCGAAGTCCCGCAGAGCTACTGAAAAGTTTTAAGAATTATAAAAGAAGAAACGTGTTCGCGAAGAATGCTAGAAGATACAATTGCTTTGTATCGGATTCCATGGGAGATTAATTTTCGATATCATTTATTAATGTAGATAGCAATAGTATAAATATGTTTTTTTTCGGACTTTTTATCTTTCTTAAACAGTCTTGATTTTTAACTTATTTTTCACGAAGACTCGATCATATTATCAATTTGGAAATTGATGATACATATTTATAATTTAAAATATTTATAACTTAAAAATTTTTTTATTATTTTATTTGATCTTACATTTTTCTAAATAAACGTTCAATTGGCAATAACAGAATATTTCAATAAAAATGATAAATCTTTTCTAGCAGCAAATTCTATTTATTTGGAACACTGATCTTACCTTTTGCCTTTCCATTGTACTTTCAATTGTGATTTAAAAGCTACTACATCGCCCTTTTATATGCGTGTGTACCGTTGCTTGAATCTAATCGTTAAAAGGTTTCCACGGAAACGCATTTCAATCGAATGTTGACGATATGCCCCCGGCAATTTAAATCTCGAGCGTATCGAGAGATCCGGTCGAACAGAGACACGTATATCTCGTAATTTCGCTTCTAGTGACGCTTTTATCCACTGGCGATTTACGGTTTGTATTTTTTCCCCGACATTCGTCAAATGTGCGAGACTCCTACGCGTAGAGTAATACCACGCCACATGTGAAATTACGAAACGAAAGCACATAACTCATTCGAATTTCTTCACCGCTCGCTATTTGAAACGTTAAAGTTTGCGATATGAATTCCTGACATCGGCTGGCTTATAATAGTGGGAGATCGTAATTATCTTTCATTTACGAGTTTCCCATATTAATTCTGACTTTCTCCCTATTTGAACCCTGCAAAACTTCGTTGCGTTTAATTCCTTCAAATCATAATTTAATCAACGTGAATATTACGAAGGTAGGAAGATAGTCGGTTGATCGCATGGGGATGTGGGGCGTATTTTAATACGCCACATGCGGATAATCGTATTTGACTGTCTACATTTCAAGTTGGATGGAGTTACGTTTGTCATTTGTCATTTGTCTTCAACTCTTTGTTATATATCTTCCGAAATTGAGCGATTATGTACCAACATTTATGATGAGTTATAGTATTTTTTCTGGCATTAGTAAGGAAATAGATAATGGTAAAATCCAATTGATATAATCTATTCTTACTGCAGAGCTTTTCAAACGTTCATTAATCCCTGATATCCGATCGGACATCAATCACCTCTCAGCGATGATCGGTCGAGAGGACGAATAGTCGTTGTTAACGCTTCGCGAACATTTCATGACGGCATATTGCCAACGAGATAATGCCGGAAGTGTCAATGACAATTCTGGATTAACGATGAGACGGGAGATTGCGTCAAGATCCCGAGAAATTTCTCAGGGAGGATGAGAGTGGCGAAAAAGGAGGATGGACAAGACAGAGCGGATGAAAGAAGGGATCGCGAACATTTCATGACGGCATATTGCCAACGAGTGCCGGAAGTGTCAATGATTCTGGATTAACGATGAGACGGGAGATTGCGTCAAGATCCCGAGAAATTTCTCAGGGAGGATGAGAGTGGCGAAAAAGGAGGATGGACAAGACAGAGCGGATGAAAGAAGGGAGCAGAAAGGGAAAAGGCGGCACCCGAGGCCAAAAATTAAATGACCGAGAGTTCGATTACGACTAGCACGTTCTTCGCACGGAAAGCCATCGACCGTTTCCTCCTCGCGTTTCCGCCCAGCGACTCCGTCGTTACTTGAACAAAAGACGAGAGTCACGCCAGAAACGAATTCTGTACTTCGCTCGACAAGACGGCCCTTACTGGTTTCGAGTAACGAACAACGTCGAGCTGGGAAAGTCACGTGAGGAAAAATTGCCAAACAGCTGTCACAACTGCTGGTCCGGTTTTTCCTGCTTTAGCGCAACATATATTTAGAAAAATACGCAATTTTCAATTTTTGTTTTTATTTTCTCGAATTATATTGGAATTGTTAATAATTCGCAAAAATTGTTAAACCGCCGTCGCGATTACAGTGCGGTTCTTTCTTTTCCGTCTTAGCGCAACATATATTTAGAAAAATAACGTAACTTTCTTAACTTTTTTTCTTCATTTCCTTTTCTTCGTTTTGTCGAATTACGTGGAGATTGTTGTGTAGAATTCGCGACTAATATTTTCGATCGCGAGGCAACGCGAATGCGAGAGCTCTCGAACGTTTCGTTACGTTGCGTACGTACTTCGTCGCCGTACATCGCTCATGCGCATCCCGGGAGTTGGTTGCAATCCGAGCGCAGGCACACATTAAATACGATCCCCGGCGCACTATTAAATGCTGCACGCGCCTTCATCAGCTGTCTGAACGGATGGATAAGCACGAAGGAGCTCGGGAGATTTGCCGAGGTATCCACAGGCATCTCCGTAATGAAACCCGATCGAGATACAACGTTTTCGCAACAGTTCACGTTGTGAAGGGAATATATAAAAGCGCGCGACGAAATATATTTCGTGAAAAATAATTTCCTTCGCCCGTCTTCCCCCCCCCCTCGCGAAGTCGTTCGGTAAAGATAAAGTATGTATCGCACATATACCTTTATCTTTCTGAAAAGATATTAGTGTATATTTCGCCGTGCGAACGTCGAATTTCTCGCAATTTCGAACGATAAAATATGATAAGAGTTTCGTGAACCGTAAATTTTCCGTCACTTTACTCTTATCGATCTGTAATATCTGCGTTATTCGTAGGGGGGGTTAAACATTTGATGAACATTTACTCGCTCAAACTTTGGCGAGACGCGCAAGCCGCGGGAAAGAAAAATCTGCATTTCGTATTGTTGCAGATTGTCTCTCGGGACGATCCGGCTGCCGGATGCACCTTATTTCGTAAAAATTATAGCATCGACTGTGCGAGAAAATTCATTTTTGTAATCGCGAAGCCACGTCGCCGACGCTGCTTGTTTTCTCGCTAACGAAGTTCTCCCGTTATACGAAGATGTTGTATAAATCGCGTTTACGGTACTAAATTTAATGCATTCGCCGGCTCGCTCGCTATTAAGCACCGCACGTGTCTTCATCTGTTTCTTCCACAGTCGAATGAACAGAAGAGGCGCGTATAATGCCGTGGTAACGACGTAGGAAGGGACCGGAGAGGGGAGGGGAAGGGGGTGGAATGAAGTACAG